GTGCTGGGGGGCTTCTCCTATGGGGATAAGTGTACAAAGCTTGAAGCTGATCATGCAACTCTATTGACATCAGGAATGTATACCTTAATTTCTCTAAAACTTCATAATGGCACAATCCATAGTGACGGGGTCATTTTACCTGCTAACATTAGTGTTCAGAATACAATACAAATATCTTTTTAAGATTTAGAATTTATTCCGAGATTCAAAATAACAATACCTGTGTGGCAAGAAGTCACTAAAATACATTTCTGGGGACTAGATACAACCCATTTCATTCTTATTTCAACGTTATTACATTTATATGTAACTTACTTCCAATTCCTTATGGGCAATGAAAATATAAAAACATAATAATGCAGAAATTAAAATTAATGAAAAGAACATGCAAGAACATGGTGTACATGCAAAGAGAAGGTGAAAACTTCAAACCCAGAAGGAAGATAACATAATTTATGTGTGTGATGAGAAAAATTACTGGTTTCTGTTGTAGTTCATCCCACAAAGGAAAATTATGAAAAGGGCGTTTTTCTAATATTGATATTTTATTATAAAATTTAAAAATAGGCATGTGCTACAACAATAAAGTGTGAATTATGAGAACAGGTCCACTGTTCATTTTGCTTTGAAATTTACACAGTATTGTTCTAAAAACAAAGACAACTCAAGTCTTTAAAAGACAATAATGATAATGAAATTGAAACAAGAAATTCATAAACTACTCACTTTACACAAACAAAACAAGTTTAAATATATATACACATCAAGAGCAGAACATGGGTATGTTGTTTACTTATAGCTTGATCCTTCATAAGTGTATGGCTCATATCAGCACACATGTACCCAGGCAACTACTGCAGGACCCTGAATCTGTTGAAAAAACTTTTCTGCAGCACACACAAATGCTGCTACTTATGCTACAGTTTTCTCAGCACAACATAAACTTTCCTTGCTTTAATGAAGGGCATTAGGAATTACTACAGTAAAGTGCCACATTCAATGAAAGATCCATAGCTGTATCTACAGCATGTTTGAAAGCAGTTATTAAATTTTGAGATGACTTGTATTGCTTGGTTCCTTGTTTTCAAGGTTCCCTCTTTGGGATACTATTACTAACAACCACGTGTGACTGGATTTCATTATTACTCAACAGGTTTGCATAGAACAAAGCTCTGTCTGGGACAACACCTAAAAACCTGTCATTACTATTTCCTTCCAAATCCTTACCTACTCAAAATTCATGACCCATCAACATCAAATAGTCAAAACAGTGTCACTAAACAATATAAGATTCAATTATTTGTATCAACTTCAAAGTAACTGGCTGATATTAGTAAAATCTGGTATGGAAATCATGCTTCATAAGGCCATCGCACCTCAGTCTTTTTACTTGCCTGCCACCACCAAAAACATCAACATGGAAGCAGTGCAAACTTATGAAATCTGAACATGAACGCATTCAGTGCAGGTCCTGCAATTTTATATGGTGATATATATATGTGAAAAATATGCAACTTCAAACATTTAGGAAAATAAAATGCCAACAATACACCACATTGAGTGATGATGACGACAACTAATAAAATATTTATAACTCGACGCATTAAATTTGAATGTTGTTATAAACATATCTACCAGCAGAGCTACAAGGTGCATTCCCTGTGAAGCCTAAAAAATGCCAAGCCAATAACAAGCTATTTCAATGTTTGGTGCAGTTATATACTGTGACAATGGTTGAAAGCTGGAACAGCAGGACTAGAAAAGTCGATCCATTACTAGGCAACAGATGGTAAACACATCTCCATGGCATCAAAAACACCCTCCCGCATCAATATCTGGGCCACCACTAGCCAACAGCCAACTTAACACATCACTCAATAATGGAGAAATTCTTGGAAGTAATGCTCTCTTTTCAGTCTGCACCGAGGCTATACGGTGAGTACCAATGGGACACATATACCTGACAAAAGGCCAAGCATATTCATAGGAGACAAACCCATCTTCTCAACAGAGAGGATGTTACACTGCAAGGGTATGGCCGAAAAAAAAATCTCTCAATGTAAGCCTCAAAGGGCTTGGTGCCAAGATGAACTGACTGGCAGTAAACTGCCAGTTGTAAACTAATTTTGACTATGAGCTAACAGTGCAGTTTGTAGCTGGCCACAAGAAATCTCTTGTTGTCGGCAGCTGTAACCTAGCAACACCCACAGTGAAGACATAATAAATTGAGAAGACTTACTGTCTGCTGCGGTGATTTATAGAGTGTATAAATTATTGAGAGTGTTACAATTATGAGTGGTTAGTGTTCAATAAAGCCAATAATCAATCCAAACACCATTTCCAGTCACTAACATGTCACAGTATGAAGTACTCCACATCTGGCATCTACTGAAAAATTCTGAACCATACTATAGCAGTGACTGTTTTCCTGAAACTCAGTAATTCCAAACGCATTTACAGAGTAATGTAGTTGCAAAGACTGCACAAAAACAGAGTGTCTTGTGAAGTTTATGGCATCATAAGAGTGCTGGATACTCACAACCCAGACACTCTAAAAGTTGCAATCAGCTTGTTGGCCATTCAGAAACAATCTCAAGTCCTGTCAACTAAATCTTAAGTATGCACTGTGCATAACGAGAGCCCCAGGACCTGCAAAGGTCCTTATCCAGGAAATGAACTCTTCATTTTCATTCATCTGTTAATGTTCAGAAACATTAAATTCTTGGAAATACTGAACATACTATTATAAAAAAGGCCAGAAAGAACCTTACATGTGCTATATTGAGAACTTTCATCAGTGACCACATGTCTAATTTCCAGCATCCTGCAATCAATAATAGCTAGTGAGTTATACTGTATAAGTATTTTACACTTCAGTTCATAACAGTTACTACACTTTGAATGAATTTTACAAGGATATTTCACTGAATCTGAAAGACTGGGGTAACACACTGAAGTGCAAACATACTTTCAACATGAAAATTATATTAAAAATAACTTAAAAAGTAAAATGTACAACTAACACTCCCTGAGAAGTACAGTATTTACGAACTTCTTGCAGGCCCCCTATCTGAAAGGATGAAATCAAGATACACTGTTTTGGAGAACATCACTAGAACCTAGGGGATCAGACTGGGCTGAACTTGATGAATACTGAAGATTACAATCATCTGGAGTGCAATGTCATGTAGCTTGGTAGATCATTACCAATGATTTCAGAGGTATGTACTACCTCCATCTTCAGGGCAGAAGATGGCATCTGCATGGCATCACATGGCAGACAGCAGTAATCTTTAGTCACTGCCATGAGAACCTCAGAGCTTACAGTATTGAACAATGCAATAGAATTATAGTTTCTATAAGACGGGTGCGCAGGTGGGGCAATTTTGAAATTGCTGAGGGCCAGAGACCTGAAGAAAAATTCTGTAATTAAGATATTGTCATACGGCTGCTGGAAGGAGCCAGGATAGTAATTGACTACAGACTGGACGACCAAGTTGTCGGAGTTCAAGTCGCAGTAGGGTTAAGAATTTTCTCTTCTTTGTCATCCAGACTAGCTCTGGGGTCCACCCAACCTCCTATATAATGGATACTGGGGGCTCCTTCCCCAGGGGTAAAATGGCTGGCACATGAAGCTGACCACTCACCTCCAACTAGTGCCGAGGTCAAGAAAATGTGGATCTATACATACAGTCCCCCATATGCCTTCATGGTGTAGTGCTCAATTAGTTATGCAAAGGGACAACTGTACCATACAGCTGCTGAAGTTTTGCTGATTGTTTGGTATGTCTATACTGTATGTTCAAACAATATAAAATGAATACTATTAATAAACCCTAATGAATTTGGGCACAGTATCCTAAACTCTAACAGGTGGTCCCAACTTCCCATATCAAATCTAGAGTGGATCCCACACAACTTTCTCATATCAACTTGTACACATAATAAATCATTTTGTACTAAGGACATAAAATTTATTTCAGTGAAAATATTGATTTTTAATATATTCATTTATTAATTTATCACATTTACAACACTTTATACTATGTATGTATAAGAAAGTAAAAACTTGACAAAGGGCCACATTATTAATATAAGCCCAATTATATTTGTGCAGATCACAGATATAAATAAACCAACAGTTCTAAGACCAGGTGACTAACAAAACCCCATACAGCAGACTCTCAATTATCTGTGTGGATTACCCACAGAACTTCTTTTAGAACCCCTTGGCTATTGATTATAGCTTTCTGTAGTGACAAAACTGTTGCCCATTACATGTTTCTATCAAATTTATCAGTGATGCTTCACAACAGTTTTTCAACAGACTGTACACTTTCTCATTCTGTTGCACATATTTTATTATTTTACTGCTTTTGTTCCAGCCCACTACCAATGAACATGGGCTACTTCCTGCTAGTGGAAAGATATTTGTATGTTTAACAACCAGCAGCATGACAAGAACTTAATAAATTTCAGGCTTGGATGGTATATATTTCAATATTTTAATTATCCACATTTCATAATCTATGCTACTCCTCCTCTCCATTACCACACATAAGCAAGAGTTAATTGTTTATAAGAGTGTCATTCTGTCAACATGCATAAGTAGGCATTGTTGTTAACAGTTACCAATAGGACTAGCAGGTACTGCACTCTTGATATCTATTAACACATATTTTCATTGTGATTTTATGTATAAAAATGGATCAACAGAGGGGTTAGGCGTAGCAAGTGTTGCCAGAAATGAGAATTATTTGTTTTGCAGTTCTGCCCATTTGTTGTATTTCAGAAGAGCCAGAATGCTGTGTGGCTGTGTATTGCGCAGGAAAAATGGACTGTATGCCAGTAATGTCAACATAAGGGGCCGCGCCATAGCTCAAGCAGTTAGTCACTGGCTTCCCACCGTGGTAGCCCGGGTTCAATCCCTGGTCTGTTCAAGTGGGATTTTTGGTGGACAAAGTGGCGCTGGGGCAGGTTTTCTCCGAGTACTTCTGTTTCCCCTGCCAATCTTCATTCCACCAAATTCTCAATCATCATAATTACCGGGGTAGGCTACAATAGGCCAATCAGTCGCTGCCATGCCAAGTGGGCGCAGTTGGACTGCACCCCCCATTAAGCGCATTTAAAAAAAATTCAACATAATAGTTAAGGGTAGAATTTACATTGTCTGTCACTATTTATTTTGTATCTTAAGACAAAATCATTCAACTCTTGACTGTTATACCTTGCTAAGTTGCAGCTGAAAGAAATAAATCCATTTCAAAGTGATGAGACATTGGCCTCTTGTTGCCAGTAAAAGAAAAAGAGAGGTCATGTATTTTCTAGGAAGCGAGATTTTAATGCATACTGTTTTTCTATAAAGTTTAATACCTTTTATATTAACACTTTGTATTTAAAAACCATAATGAAAGGTGGCTCAACTTTAGAATCAAGAGTATTCAATACATAAGATTTGAGCTATCCATGGCAGTGAAGATTCATATTGTGGTCTTGAGGTCACGACGCTGTGTTGCAGTCAGTCTAGTAGGTGTGTACCAAAATGCTGGAGGACCATATTACCCCCATATTCAGGGCAAAGGTATGCCTTCATAGTGGGGAACATGCCCCCCAAAGGGGTCACTGTCCCCAGCTCATTAAGGCTGGCATTTCTAGCCTATTAGGATCCTGGTGACTGTAGCCCTGATGGGACTATGGTCTCCGGCTGACTGGACAGTATGTTCCTCTAGACTACAACACAGTTTCATAACTCATACCAAAATATGAAAGTAGTCGAGTTCAGTCTCTTTCACGCTATCACAGAAGAACATATAATACAAGTGACAAACATTTATGTACTATGGGTGACGAATATTGTAAGGCTAATTTTAAGGCTGCAGCAACCCCTGTTCACACAATCCAAGAACTCATCAACCAGTTTTGTATATTTTACAACATGTAATGAAAGAAGCATTTAATAGTAAAGGGAATCCTATTACATTCCATGTAATTAGTTTCGTAACTGTGCAAGGTCCCTGTAAGCAGCCAAATTCCATATTTTTAATATCAAATCAATTATTCCAATGCAAATGTGGCAGTCTGAAACAACTCAGAGTGGAAACAAGTCTGTTTGGCTGAACTGTCAGGGTTTCTGCAATGTAAGTATCTGGACCACAGCCACTTAAATGCTTCTCTTTCTTCAAACTTTTAGTTGAACATTTCATGTTATTATGACCACAGCAGGACATCACAACAGATGGTAGCACCTATTAAAGCAAACTAATAAATTATTTCACTGTTTACTTATTTTATAGAGACTCAAAGAGAAGTTGAAGGTAACACTATATCTGCAGGAATGAATACTTTTTAAAATTGCTTTGTTTTTTCTTTCTGAAAGACAGTTCACATTAAAAAACGGATTTTTTCCACGCAAAAATATGACTACTCATTCAATGTAAAAAAAGCATTCCACTCATTTTATGTATAAAAAAACCATTTGATCTAATATGCCAGATTCAACTTCTTTCTTATTTGGTGTGGCTGGTCAAGAAATACTCAATGAAAAATTGTCATACAAATTTCACAATTTGGCCAGAAGTGCACATACACAATGTACTGAACAACAGGAGCAGAACTCAGGTCCACTGTTGGTATTTAAATTACATTCTCTCTTCTTGTAATAAAATAAATTAGCACACAGACAGACAGAGTTTTCTTTTTGCAAGTCAAAAATCACACAATGACTTGGGTAGCATAATCACAAGACCAGAAAGAGGAAACAGCATGAAGCAAAACTGAAAAATGTTTCGGGACTGTCAACGCGCGGGGAAGATATCCGAAACTGGCCAGTCATGGCTCCCTGATTTCTCCCTGGTCTTGTGAGGCTGATAGTGGGAACACATTCATACAGGGCAAGAGCAGCTATCATCGTGACTGTGAAGACTCCTCTTTCTTGTGTAAGTCCACCACTTGAGTGCCGTCTAGTGGTCTGGTTGAAGGAGGTGTTGGACATGCCAGTTTGTGTCCTACAGGCCCTGGGCCAGGGCCAGGGCCCGGTCCTGGGCCAGGCCCTGCCCGATGATGGAGATGATGGTTATTTTGCATTGCTCCAGAGGGACTAGGTGCCTTTCCCCGTAAATGTGGTCCTGGAGGTGGTGGGTAAGGTTGAAACAACTTGGCACGCTCTTCTTCTTCAGCCCTGTATGCAGCCATTAACGGAGTGAAATGCAGCTGCTGCAGGTGACCAAACCTGTATGCATTATCTCTGAAAGGATCAGCTCCTGGCCAAGTCGAACCAGGACCACTGGAAAAGTGCGGTGGTATTGGAGGAGCACCCAAGACTGGTGGAACCACCCTGGACCGATCCAGCATTGTTGGAGGAGGGGGAATTCCGTGTGGATGGCGGGACAAATAATGGTGGGGATGGAAGCGAGCATCACCTGTTGCTCCAGGTCGACTCAACAAGACCACATCATCTTCCTTGCCAGTCCGAGGTTCTTCCTTCACTCTCACCCCATCACCATCTGGTGCAGTTCCATTTCGAATAGGTGACCTATCTCGAGATATAATTTTGTTGCTATTTTCAACACGTTGCTGATGAAGAAGACGTTCCCGTTCTAATTCTCGTCTCTCCATCTCCTTCCTCTCCTTTTCCCTTCTTTCCCTTTCCCTTTCTCGTTCCCTTTCACGTTCACGCTCTGCCTCCAACTTCCGCTGTTTTTCTTCCCTCTCCCGTTCTCGACGTTCTCTCTCACGCTGCTCTTCCCGTTCTCGTTCCCTACGGCAACGTTCCCTCTCTCTTTCCCTCTCTCGCTCCCTCTCACGTTCTCTTTCCCTTTCTTCGAGCTCCCTCCTCTCCAATGGACTTGGTTCAGGTTTCAGACCCCATGGACTTGCAGCCGATGTTGGAAAACCGCCCGCGGTTCGTTGGAGTCTAAAAGATAAATATTTAAAATAAATGCATAAAGAATAACATGGTTCAGAATACTTTTACAGTAGAACATGCTCTCTTCCTGGTATCACTCACCGGCTCCAGGGATCATGAACAGGCCCAAGAGCTGGGAGAGGAGGGAGGTCTCTTGGGGGTGGAAATACTGATGTTCCAAGACCAGGGAAAGCAGAGTTTGGTCCACCAAAAGTTGCAGGGTAGCGCCCAAATGGAGACACTCCACTACCTGAAAAGAATATCGACAAATAACAATGGGAGGAAAATGTCAAACATCAAGACACTTTTGCTTCCACACATATCTACTTACCAATATGACTGGAAGGTGGGTTGAGAAAGCTGCTTGGATGAGGTGCTGTATCAAAGGGAGGTCCTCTGTGTCCGGACAGAGAAGTGGCAAAAGAAGGCAGGTCATGGGGGCGAGGTGGGGCAGCCAAGCCGCTAGGAAACAGATGATTAGGTGGCCTAAGTAGTTCAGCTTTTCCTGCTCCAGCTTTTGCCTCTTGCTGCTGTTTCTGCTGATGGTGATATATCTCCCAAGCAATACGCACATGCATTGCATTCCAACGACCTGACTTCTGCAATCAAACGATCAACATACCTATATATCTACCCTCTTAATAATAAAATATTTAAATAAACTGAAACTTACTCTGTAAGGTACAAATAACTAATTATAGTAATCAATTCCATCAACTAAAATAAGCATAGCACAATGCAAAGACTTCAATGTTCTGAAGACTAACGCCATCTTAGATATGATGTCGCATAGTTTGGTAGACAAAGGAACATGCTCATCTCATCTTCAGCATGTTCTTTTGAGAATGAAACTGGCACATTACAATGTTATAAAAAATATGTGAACATGACTGAAAGCTTTAGAATATGGGAATGAGCAAAAAATATGTTGAAGGAACCCTAAAATAGTTGAAGAATTTAGAAGAGGTTGATCAAAACAACTAAGCATTTTGTTTTCAACAGTAATGTAAATGAGGCAGCAAAGACAACTGGACAGATCAAAATTTGTTTGTAAAGGTCTGGTAATATGGTAGGTAGAAGGCGACTAAAATGAATAAATCTCAAGTAGGCCAGAATTACTCCAGATTTTACAAAATATACAAAACATATTTAAAGTCAGTATTAATTTAACCAGAATGGACAAAGACTGAAGAGCAGAAAGCAAATTAGAAGTCATAAAAATAAAAGTTCTGAAGAGCAAAGAATGAAAGAGGGTAAGAGGCAAGAAGACCAGGAGGGGGCAGATGGGAGGGAGAGGGACACAGTAAAAGCTGGTGAAAGAAGAAGACAACATGAAATTAAGGGTTTTCATAGATGAAATTGTTTGGAAATCTTCAGAGATTGGACCTGCATCTGACCTTCCTGACCTCTGCCCACATTAGCAGTGGTTAAGGGAACATATGAGATAGTTTAATATTATATATATGGAGAAATGGAAAGCTGGGGCATGGAGCAGGTATGGCCTTTTCCATGGTACTACATAAACACTTATCTGGAGACTTAATCCAACGGCAGAAGAGTTGGGAAATTTAGTAGCTGAGACTGAAACAAAGTACCTCATGAATATAAATATGGAGGGATTACACAAACATTATCTGAATAGTACCTATGCTATGGACTCCAATACCTACAAAGGTTCAATGGCTTACATATGGCAGCTCAGACTGCAAAGCAACAAACGGCAAGACCATTACTGATCAATGAATTTAAAGGTTGTGGAAGGAAGTAGGGATAACATAATTTGAGGTATTATTCTGCGATTGGCACAAAGGGATTGAGGGAGACCCTGAAGGACTTTAGTCATGTTGCTTGGTGTCCTGCTCAAGGATAAAACCCAACGGTTCTCAAATACAATTTGGAAGCATCACCACCTAAGTGAACTTGATCTAGTGTGGTGATGATAACGACAAGGATGAAAGGGTGTCAGAAGCATATAATACTCAAAATTCTAATGCAAATGAAGTAGTAATAAACGTGTACAAAACGAGCTTCATTCACAAAATTGTATAACACACACAAAAAAAAAATTATATATATGTGCCATGATGCAGAATTAAACAAATCTCATAAAACTGACAATTCTGTCACTGTTTTTGTTGCACCAACAATTCACTGTTCGAGGTCTGCAAAGTCCAACTTATATATATCATTTCATAACCACATTAAAATAAAGCCATAACAGAAAATAACTGTGAACCATAAAATGTTATATAACAAATAAATACTAAATCTAAAATGCAGCCACTTAAGAAGACACCTACCACTGGTTTGGGTTTTGAGGGATCACCCATCTGCTGTGGAAAAACAAAGAGAACAAAGCGTTACTCACTGGATAAAGCAAAATGTTAACAAACAGAATGTCAAGCATTTTAAGTTTTGGTATGCCATTATTATACATAAACATACATTGTGGCTCAGGAGTTTCCCATGCATAAATGAAAGACTATACCACACACACTGTAACTTAGCCATGCAAAAATAAATATAGTGGAGATCCCGTAACAATTTATCATACAGTGAAATGTCACAACAAACTATAGGAGACCCACATAAATTATAAAATGTGAACTTTTCACGGTAACATGATGTCATGAAGTCTTATGGGCAATAAGCAATCTCAATACAGAATAAAGTAATATAAAATAAATTTTGGAGATGTCCATCTCTGTTGTAAGAGACTGAAGTAATAAGTGGCACAAATTTGCAGATACACGGAGATTTTAAAATGCTTCTCCTATGTTTAAACTCTTTATTATTCCTAACTAATAGTGATAATAAAATCATGCCTTCACAACTCAAAACACAAATGTCTGTTACAGTGAATGTGGCTGAAAATTAAGTGTAGAAGAATAAGCAAAAACTAGATCAAAATACAAAGCACAACTATCAGATATTCAAAACTAAAAAATGGTGGGGAATTAGACTCGACAAAATTTCAGTTGACTTGAAAACGATAAAAAAACTGAGGTATGAAAATAATGACAAAGGGTTCTGTACAATGCTTCCTGCAATCTGTGAGATTGCTGTTATGTTACAAAATGTTATGACATGACATGACACAGGAGCCTGAGAGCACAAGGCTGGATTGACATGCATGCTCTGAGCTGTAGGGGGGTAACTATTAGAGTGACAGACTTCACTGAAATTCGGGAAGAGGACTCAAGACCCTGAGGAAGGCAGACCACATTGGAGAAGTTTCAGCGATTCCCTTTTATACAGACTGGAAGCGCTACTGGCTAAAGGCAGAGGATAAGGACTAGCAATGTCATGAGTTGACAATTAGATATACAGAGATGGTGCAGAAGCTGAATGAGATCGTTTAGTGTTAATGAGGATAAAATGGAATAAAAAGAAAACAATTTCAATGCATAGCAATACTATAATGCAAATTTATTTGGTCATATTCATTTTTTAAAAATCTGTTATGTTCTCTTTGCAACATGATGCATCTGAAAGTCTTGATTGGAAATTCTCCTAAGTCTCTAGCATAATGCTGCACTGATTGCATTTCATCAGAGATACACTATTCCGACTTCGGAAATGTGTGACATTTGCTGAAGTAAACTTTACATTTTAAAATCCGAACGGGAAAAAGTCATATCAATTCAGCACGCTTAACACAACCATGCCAAATCACCAAAATGGGAAATGGGGTGCCCAGTACACCTGGTTCCTCAAACAGCTGTGTGCATGGTGGTGCCATCTCATTAGAATCAGATTTCACCATCTACTTTCAACATTTTGGGCATTATACTACACTGCTCCAATGTTATGGTCACCATGCGGTAACCTTCTTCAAAGAAGTAGGTGTGATAACTCCAAAGCTGAACATGTCACATCAGATGTTAACTTTCACCAATGTATACAGATCTTTCATTCTTTGCTTCACTACTGGAAATTCTATCCAATGAAACAAAGTGTACCATTGTCATATATATCACTTTGTAAATAATATCTAGATCTGTCTTCATGATGTTGATTAACAGTGTGCAGAAGGCCATTTGAGCGATTTTAACAGAATCTTGCAGCTGCTGCACAATCTTAATCTTGCAGTTTGCAGTGTGAACTTAACTGAATGATATCTAGAAAAGCAAGCTGACTGTTGATCACTGCTTCCCAAACCCAGCCAACATTCTTTGCCATGGGGACTGACAGTGAACTACTGACAAAACAATTACAACCACTGCCAGTATTTTGAAAATTTTCCACCCACTTAAAGATAATGTTACAAAAAATAATTCTACCGTAACTACCAACAGAAAACTAATGGCACAGTCTGCTTTGGACCTGCATTACTGGCTTACATTCAGTACGAGTTCACCTGCAAACAAGTGGTGAACTACCTGCCGGTTACCGAAGCTCACTTCTAACTACATTATGGGAAGCAGCTGCACAGATCAGAAAAGAGAAACAAAACCCCCTCCAACTTCATTTAGTTTGTTACAGCAGCTCAAAAATGTCACAATCCACTGCTGCACCCTGTATTTATTTTCTTCTATCTCACACATATTACGCATACTGGGATACTGACACAGATTCAGTGCATTATAGCAATGAGAGTTGAAGCAACATGAGGCTTAGGATATAAGTGAGTTGGCTGACAGTGAAAACAGGATATGAAGGCTTGGACTTAATTCAACTGACTCAGCACACAATCTTGTGTAAATAGTAATAAACTTTCAGGTTCCATAAGGCAGGGAATTACATTACCAGATGAGCAACAGTCAGCTTCATAAGAAAGCTGAAGCTAGGCACATGTCTGGCCTCAACAGCTTCCAAGCTATGAGACTAGATGGCCTTGTATCAAGGCATAACTAATGCTAACCAGAAGATGGTAACAAGCTACACTGTTGCATGTGCCTTGCTTGCAGAGAGCATGAGGAAGCGATTATAGTTGTGAGACCTATCAGATGACACTGTGTGTACCCTTGCTTTCAAGAATATGATAAAGAACTTGAATGGTTTAAATCACACAGCAGAAGCGATAAGGATCCATACGTGTATGTGACAATTTTGAAACAAATTAAGTAAAGCGAGATTTTATATATTTCTGGTCATTATAAATCTCAGTTTAATTTTAGGTTCTGTGTAGAGGGTAGTAATTCGGCAGAACATGGTCCACTTTATGATTTTCTTCACTTGTTTTGAAGTCATATTTCCTTTTTTTATTTTGTTAGTTTCAATGCAATGGTTATGAGATATCAACGCTGTTATGAATTTGTGTGTGAAACACTGAAATAAATGCCATCCCATTGTACAGTGCATAGATGTTAAAATCCCTTTTGTAATGGTTAATAAAAGGCACACGAACCCTACAATCCAGCACAAAATAATCAAACTTTCAACTCAACCAGTAAATGGAAATTTCACATACTTATATACAAATGATGGGTGGTGGGACTACTTACAGGACACTGTCACCTTAAAGGACACCTCTTCAAACTGGGGCTAAGTGACAGTCCCACTTGTGAGAGATGTCAAGAAGAAAATGAAACAGCTACACATATCCTATGTGAATGTGAGGCCTTACCTTATTTAAGATTATGTCATTTGGGTCAGTAATTTATGGAACCAAGTGACTATTTCGATGCCCCCAGGTATAAAATCCTGCACTTCATTGGAAGCGCAGGATTGCTGAGAGGCTAATGAAAAGGGGACACACAACAGACCACTGTAGGTAGCGATGCAAGGGCCGAGAAGGCCCACCCCTTATACATTCATTCATTCATTCATTCATACTTATATACAACATAACATGAAGTTTCACTTTTACAAGTTCTTTATATATACCTTTGGCGTAAATGCAGGGAGATGATTGGGTGGAGCAAAGGGAGTAGAGCCCCCTAGACTAGGATGTAGTAATCCTGGTGAAAACCCAGGATAACTTGTGAGCCCAAGATTTTGCCTGTAAAATGGTGAGTCCACGCCACCTAATTTTGGGATTTCCTTAAACTGAAAGAGAAAGATGCACATAATATAAAACCACAACACTGAGAAGAGATGGTACTATACTTCCAGCTCCAACATTCTTGCTCAGATTCTGTAAAGCAGTGGTTTCCAACCTCAAGCCACAACCCAAATCACAATCATGTGGATTGCAAGCAGGATTGTGATGGATAACCAAAAGGGTTATTTTCTTGAGCACCTGAAAGGTTAAAAGGGGCATGCAGTAGCATAGTTGGTTGAGGCACTATGCTACAAGCATAGCATACAAGGTTGCAGGATCGAATCCTGATGAGGTGGATTTTTTCAATTTACCTAATCCTTCCAGCCACACTATGTCCCTGGGGTCGACTCAGCCTTTAACAGAAATGAGTACCAGGAAAAGTCTTGGAATATTCTTGGGAGTAAAGGGCGGCCGGCGTGTAAGGCTGACAACCTTACCACCATCTATGAGCCGATTGGCTAGAAAATGTGAGAACCTCAACATCTCACAACCCTATGGGCCTCCACGACCTGTTACAGGGATACCTTTACTAACTTACCTCAAAGGTTAAAAAACATAAGAAATTGCATGGCCCCATCTGTAGCCAATTCAGGGCTGCATGAAACAATTGCTCTAAAGATTTGTTGCAGTCATGATGACTCAAATGTGCTAAACACTACCCACTATTTTCAGCATAATATTCTGTAATAATCACAATATTTTGGGAATTCAAATTGCTCCAACTTCAGCCAAATGGATGTCATTTTAAGCAACTCAATTAGTTACCTTTACTGAGGGAGTAACTGAGATCAAGTGTAGGACATGGCTATGACAAGGAAAACATAAATAGAATCTATGGCAATAGACTATGAAATGGCTGCACTCTTTCACAAATTCATGGCTGCATCAAACTTCCATCCAGCTTCTTGCTCCTTTAGCAGTTTAACTGTCGCTCAAATTGCTTAATTTATCTTGTCGCTCCCTCCCCACGCCTACTGCTTGTATACTATGCATACATACAGTTTCATTCTAAAGGAGGGTAGTGGGTTTTTTGAAAATTAATTAGCGGTATACATAAATACCAGTATTGTAATAGTGGTGGGCGAGGGATTTCTATTCAGGTCAGCCCACGTATTCTAAAATGGTAAAGAACTGATCTGCTGAGGCTTAAACTCAGTTAAAACTGTGGCTGAGTAGTAACACAGAAAATTTAGGCCATGCCATAGCTCAAGCGGTTAGTCGCTGGCTTCCCACCGCGGGGCCCTGGTTCGATCCCGGGTCTGATCAAGTGGGATTTGTGGTGAACAAAGTGGCGCTGGGGCAGGTTTTCTCCAAGTACTTCAGTTTCCCCTGCCAATCTTCATTCCACCAATTGCTCCACAATCACCCTCACCTACCATCTGGAGCTGGTATAATAGGCCAGAAGTGGCCATAGTACCAAGCGGACTCAGTCCCACCTCACAAAAAAAACCCAGAAAATTCAAATTTTAAGAAGGGTTTGACTATGACAGTTACTTACCAGTGGAGTGGGAAAGAGAGAGGGTGCAGGAGGTGGTGGCAGTATTGGTGCAGTATGTTGGTGTACATGTGTATGTTGATGTTGATGGTGATGCATCTCAGTTCGCAGGTACGGTGGTGGCCCTACATTCAGTGAACGATCCTGTGACGCCAGAAACCTGCTGTCAAGCTCCCGACGCAACAGGTCTGCTTGATCTGTAATTAATGTCACTGTATCATATTAATCTAACTCAACATTCAAATTTTAATAGACATTTCATTAGCAGTCAAACGCTGCAGAAACACACACCTGCACTACTATAGTTAACACTTTATGATAAACTTTGCCATTTATTTACAGCAGGGAACAGTACCAATAAGTGAAATCTGTTTTATGTACAACAAAAGCTGCAGATAGTATAAAACATAGAGATGACAAAGACTGGCACAGCAAAAAAGACAACTCTTCAACATATCTTAAAGAAGGGGATCTGGTAGTCTTGAGTATGACAGTGGGATCTCATTCAAAGGGTTCTGAGTTCAATCCTCAGTCACATCTCAGTGGAAATTTTTTGCTCACAGACTGAACCTCCGCTGAAAGGAAATTCTGAACATGTGATGAATATTGGTTCCCAACCCTAACCCTACAGATGCTCCTACCAAACGAATAAATGCCACAAACACTTCCTCCCTGTCTCTGACATGAAACCATACCAAGAGTTTATATGGTTTTCTGAATGTTACTAACATCTCAAGGTCAGTACATGAACAATGGGACCTTGCGAAGAAAGAGCTCAATATGAAACTGAAGTTATATAAAATTTTGCAGCTAAATTTAATTTATATCAATCATAAATCCTTTGCTGAAGTGACCTACCAGCAGGAGATGGGATTTTAATACCCAGTGTGACACGAGAACTACAGACATTAGAGGGGTGAGAAACAATTTTCTCTTCTATTCACAGAGTAGGTTACACAAATCAGGCTGTATATAGGTCATGACAGCCAGCATGACACATCTATATTAGTCTCTACATGTTACTGTTACTTACTTGACTGGAAGAGAGACTCTGCTGAGAAGGGGTTAGGGTTGGCAGCTGGTGGCAGGCTCAGAGGACTGGCTGTTGCAGCAGGGGGTGGAAGAGGAGGTGCAAACATTGGTGGAGGAAATGGATGTGTAGCGGGATGAAGAGGATGAGTGGCTGGAAGTGGCACAGGAGGGGGCGTTGGCCGTGGTACAGATGCTGCTGGTGACAACTGCTGCCCACTTGAACTGAAAAAAAAAATTGTGAAATATCAGGAAAATCACAAAAACCAATAAAGAATTTAATGACAGGATTAGAACACTTCTTATAGTAATCCACTAAATACATACAGATTTAAATTAAGGAGTTGTAAGACATTTTATAAACACTTCACAAATAATTTAAGACATACACAGACATTTCATTTTTCACATTATGTGAAGTAAGCTTTGTGATTTGTCAATATAGTTAACAACAAAATGGCCATCTAACATAATGCAGAACTAACTCATAGCCAGTGTTACCAAACTTCAGACTGTGGTCTTGTGGTTTATGACAATGTTTCAGAGGAACATGCTTTCTCAAACCTCTGTGTTGATGTTCAAGTTCAACCCTGAAGATGGAGGGAGCATGTTTCCCCCCAAATGTTGGTACCCACCTGCATGTGCCACAACCGAAAAAACCACAATCTGAACAATCACCACCATGAAGACTTCAAATATACATCAAGTAGATCTCAGGACAAAGACTTGAAGGAGAGAGGTTTTAAAATCATATAAAATAGTTAAACTGACATGAGGATATCAATACAAGTACTATGATCATCATTTCCAAGTATGTAGTTCACTGTGGTGAGAAGGTGCTAGGTATAATATTACCCCTCCAAAAATCAACACCTGATGAGAATATATAGGACAATAAAGGGTTCCCCACAGGATATACTATCTAGAGCTGGCTCTCCAACTAACAAGTATCATGTATCAAGCATGACTGATCTGAAAGCACGTGACCATGATATCCTCCCACCTGACTGAACTAAAAGTGGACCATTAGTCTCACACAGATGTTTCAGAAATCACAATTTGTTGCACTGCATCTGAGTCAATCTTGCCATGCAGGCAGAACAGCACAAAGAAGGATGGCAAGAACACTGCCATTCATGTTAAATCTCCATGCAAATTGGTTTCCTTGGCAACTGCAGGGGGCCTCAACACAGCCTCAATGCTGACCAATATGGATCAAACTCAAATCTGGACACCTTCCAGCATAGATCAAAAACTTCAAAGGTATCCAAATTCTGTTGAGATACCATGGCACTGAAACAAAAATGGCTCCTACGCTATGCATCATATGCTTTGGGCTAACACATATTTTCTTCCACATGCTACTACAAATGGCAATCGTACAAACCTGCCCCATGATGGTGTTTTGGTGAAGGCAAGACTAGAAGACACAATCGCTGGAGCTGGTGCTGCGGCCGAACTGAAGGGGGATGAGTTACATGTGATTACACAACTACTAGACAGTGTGGCTGCACTCACAGGCGTAATGCTGCTTCTGCTTAGGCTACTCACGTTACTGCTGCAAATATCAAACACCACACATTACACTATTCTTCATACAGCACCACACCTGTTCAACTGGATAACCTGATGCAATCTGTAACTCAGCATTCATTTTCATAATGAGGATCTCATGCTTTTCAATATATGCAACACCAGTAATTTCTTTTTCTTTGGTACTACAGCCCCAGTGGGCCTAGGCCTACCTCCATGAACTTCTCCGTTCACTTTGGTTTTCCTAGATCATACACATTCGGTAGGACTCCTTGGGCGGGTGATCAGTTCGTCGCAAGGCCTCTACCTGTGCACAAACACAAACTGAACATCCATTCCCTGAGTGGGATTTGAACCCATGATCCCAGTTTCCAAGTGAGTGAAGACAGTACATGCCTTAGACCGCTCGGCTACCATGACCGGCACAACACCAGTAATGGAGCATTAATATTCACATTAATTTTAATGTGTTAACTCAGCTAACACTTTGAAAAGTACGAAAAAATGTGTTACTTTTGCATTTCACTGATATTTTACATACTGGCTGAAGATGCAGTAAGATAACGCATCTTCTGCCACTTCCAGGTAGCAAGCCTATCACAAGCTTGTTACCCAAATCTTCTCAACTTATGATGGCAGTTTGAGAATGCAGGCACAAGTAGAAAAGAGTACAGGGGTGGAGAGTGCATAACACCACAAGCTATTTCAAGCTCCTGTATTAGGCAAATGAGAACTGTTAACACACTTCAGATGCTTGGTGCTCACAAAGCATGCAATCAACTTAGGAAGCATGGGACAGAGAAATGGGTAATTTTGCTTAAGGATATCATGGCATTCATCAAGACTCTGACTTCCATTTTCATTTGAGTGTATTTGCAGGAGTATTACCACAACCCAAAAGCTTTTTCATATTATGTAAACCGAAATTAACGATGTCACTTACTGTTCCAGACATTTAAATTTTTGTTAGTTTTTAACAGACAACTGAAACACTTTAAAAGTTTGGTCAGAAAGAGAGAGCTTCTCCCAGCTGGATAAGGAATACAGAATTTCCAACTAAGGGAAGCCTGCTTTAGCCCTTCTCTGTAGAGTAAGCAGGACTAGTTTCACATCTTTCACTCTGAGGCTTTTAGTCCACAAGTGAACTTATACCAACCAAGCGACTGCTGCTTGTCAGCGAAGTTAGTGTCAACTTTTTGAAGATAGTTGTCACGTGGTCAGTGCAACGGATTCCCATGGCCGGTAATCTCAGTTTTCTAGACTGGAACATCTTTCGCTATGTTAGAAATGAATTTGTCAACTGGATGTTGTGTTTTCTTAATGCAGATACTGTCCTAACACACTTTTTTTATTGCTAGTGGGGTGGGACTAAGTCCCTTGTACTGTGGCCACTTCTGGCCTATTGTACCAGCCTCAGATGATTCTCGTAGGTGGGGGTGATTGTGTAGCAATAGGTGGAATGAAGATTGGCAGGGGAAACCGAAGTACTCAAGAGAAAACCTGCCCCAGCGCCACTTTGTCCACCATAAATCCCATTTGACCAGACCCGGGATCGAACCCGGGCTGCTACGGTGGGAAGCCAGCGACTAACTGCTTGAATGATGGCACGGCCATCCTAACACACTTGCTGTAGATTTATTTTTCTTGGTGAAGACGTTAATGTGCTTGAAATTGATGTCAGCTGACAGCAATAATATAATATGACATAACTGCAATAAAACTTCAGTATCAAATAACAAAAAAGTCGTGACTGAGGGGTTCACTGTATATTAATACTCTCCAATAACCAATGAGCAGGACCACCACATCTCCCTTGTTGGATGCTCATAACACCATACTAAATTTATCCACAGCTATCCTCCATACCTACACACCATCTACATCACCAACCAGAGGGCATACCATGCCATGGAGACAATGGATGCACTGAATATGATACAGAACAAAATAAGAAACATAAATCCTCTGTCAATTGGAGATGCACATCCACTGCATTCCATTTATATCCAGTCCTACAAGACATCTGAGGGTTGTTTGAAAAGACTGGCAAAGCCTAGCACCAATTTCATCTGATTTATCTTCTGCAATCACTAGGCATTTTGATCCCCCACTAGATAAAATGAAATTGCAGTAATCTGGGAAAGTTTTACTCCTAACATTTTAGGCTATATGTTAATTCTGCAAATAGTGCAACCTCTGCAGCCTGATTGAATGGGAGGAGCGTCAGGCTCTTCCACCTGAGTGGCTCAGCAATTTGTGGGAAGTTCTAAGATGACTGAACTGCATTATCAACAAATTCATCATTACTTACATTTCTGAAACTGAAATGCAATGATCAACTTTCTGGTCGTTATCCATGGCAATATTTTTTCAAAGTTTAGAATGGCGTTTTAGAGAGCCTAGTCCTTGACATGTGTGTGATTTAAAATGAAAAGACAAGATGAAGGATAATGTCCAGAATAGTGATCATGACATTAATACACTACCACCATGAACTTCTAATCAAAAATTTAATCTCTTTAGTTCCAATAGTTTATGTACAATTAAGCTTACTGGAAGTAAAAATTTTAAACCATTCAGATATACACTATAGTATTCAGAAGTGTCCATTCCATCAATAGCTGACATTCCTACCTATAGCTGTCCCGTTCCCTGTTTGGACTGTGGCCCCTTGGCGAATGACTGCGACCGACTATAGGTGTTGTCACAATGTCTCTGTGGCTTGTTGTTGTGGTTGTTATAACTACTGCTGTAGCTGTTGTCACTGCTGGTGCTGTTGTTGTGGTGGCAATAGGTGCTGAAGCTGTGAAGGCATGTGAACTACTTTATAACCACTGTTAACTGCTGCTTTAGTTCCACAAAATCAAGTCAAGTCATGGTGCTGCAGCATACAAGACAATAATTAGGCAAAGTATTTGAAAGGGAAATGGGTAATAACTACATCAAGAGCAGTTACAACTAAAAGAAAAAAAAAGCTACAGGGAAGGGCCAATGTCAACAAAAGCATTCATTATCAACAAAATACTATAACAAGTTAAAACTTTTTAATATTTTAGGATGCAATCTGCCTTAAGAAGGAGAGAGAGACTTGAATGTAAGAAATAATTAAGCAAAACCCTTAATATTATAAACTAACTTAACATATCATCTTAAACCCCATGTCACATGAGGGTCTAAATTTATACACATATAGCATCTGCTACATCAAATTTATCATATGGAACATAAGCACAGACACTAACGAGAAGCTTAATATAAGGTGAAATAAATTCTGTTAAGGTGATTATATTACTCCCAGCCGCAAGAGAAATGAATAATAGTAACAAAATTACAGATTAAATCATCAATTACAGTTTTCATGTAACACCAAAGAAATAATTAGAAATAAAGACTTATAATTTTGATGGGATATGACAGGACACCCCTGACAAATTTCAAAATTTTATCTCTGAGGATAAAGACACTTAGGAAGAATTAAAATATGAGCAGATTCTGTTTTGTTCAGCATATACCATATACACTTAGAATATTGATGAAATGCAGTTCAGAATACAAGACAAAATTAAAAACCTTCTTGATGTATGTGATCTTCCAACCACAAGTTAACTGTACTGTCTCAGAGAGAATACTAATATGCAGGGGTTGGACAAAATAATGGAAACAATGTAAATACTGTACACCCACGAAAATGTGCTACCTCTCTCCATTCAACAACTTATTAAGTTATCATTCAGAGCAACTTGAAGAAAGTTACTAAATGAGGGTGGTGCACAATCTGGTTGGAAAACAACAACTTCGTATTCAGGTAAAAAGAGAAGTGTTTGTACCAAGACAGAATATTGTTGATGCACATGCATTGTGGAACTATACTAATGCAAACTGTGTGTCTCCCTTTTCTCTTTGCTTCCTTCAATTATGTAATCATGGTTACAAAAAAATAACTTTGTATAAAAGAACATATTTGTGGACAAGCTGTATCATTATCGTCATCATCATCATCATCATCATCATCAGTAACCTGTCAGACGACTGGTCCACAGTCTCTTCCAAAACAATTCCTCCACTTAATGCGATCTAGAGCTTTCTCCTTCAAATGACAGTATCCTCTTCTGTCACCAAGGTCATCCACTGTCTTCTTACGTCTTCTTCCTTGTCTTCTTATCACTTCTATCCGCCCCTCTATCTTTCCTTCAATAACTTCTTTTAGAAGGCAGTTTCTGCGTAAAACATGACCAATCCAATTAGCCTTCCATTTTCTTATTTTGTGTAGGATATTCCTTGGCTCACTGACTCTAATTAACACTTCTTCATTTCTCACATAATCGGTCCAACTGATCTTCTCCATCCTTCTCCAACACCACATTTCGAAACTTTCCAGATGTTTCTGATCTACTGCCCTAAGTGTCCATGTTTCAGCCCCATACAACATAAAAATTACGAGTGGTTTACTTAGGAACAGTCAGAAATACACTTGGAGAACAAGGAGGAGGAAGGGATGATGATAATGATGGAGGAGGAGGAGAAGAGCTGTGAACTAATCAGTCCTTACCTGCAGTGACAGGTGTCGTCACCGCGGGAATGGTCGTGGATCCACCAGAATGCTGTGGCTGCTTGGCAACAATAGGGCACGGGGATCTTGTAGACCTCTGCAAAATTCAAAGTACATGTATTTAGTAACATAACTCTACACTGCTCTTAAATGGAGAAAGAAGTGTTGGATCATTTTTAATTACACATTCTGGGGCTAGAAGACCAATTCAATTAAATACCCTTCAATCATGACATACCACATCAATTATCATAAGTGTTTGTAAATCACGTTTTAGAACATTATGTGCAGTAGCGATCATTACTAGGAAGACAGTGCCTCTGTCAGCACACAGACTAAGCCACAGGATGAGCAAACCAAGAAATCACAGTTCGATTCCCTACATGGGGAAGGGACTTTCCTCTTTCCCACACCATTCAGACTGGCTTTGGAGCCCACCCAGCTTCCTATCCAATGGATATTGGGTCCTACTTCTCTGGGAGTAAAGTTGTTGGGGCATGAAGCTGACCACATCTAGTATCACAGTTAAGAATGTGTGAAGCTATACCTCCAACCCATTCATCATAAGGTGTGGTATTTAGTTGAGCACAGGGATAAATCTACCTCTCTCTACTTTATCTTAGCGGTCACTGTAATTTACTATATTATAGTGTCACAGGAGACAGGAAAGTTTCAATTTACATACCAGTTAAGTGGAAATTATATATGATTATGTACCACCACTTATGGCAATATACACTCATGTGTTGTAACTGTGTTTAACTAATCAGGCACTATACCATGAAGACGTTTGGGGGAGTGATGTATAGATCCACATTTTCTTGACCTTGTTCCCCATTTCTGGAATTCACATACAAACACAGAACATAAACTTCTAGAAAAGCAATCAGAAAACAGCCAACAAACAAGCTGGCTCAAGAGCTAATGCATTTGAAGGTTCACAGTTTAAATCCCGACTGCTGTATTAGATATCTTGAATGTGTTTTATGGGGGTTCGTCATTTCAGGCAAATGCCAGATATACACAACTTATTCATCCTGAATCCTTTCCATGTTATCATGTCCTTGTAACTGCTCTAGTGTTGATAGATAACATAGAAACTAACACTTAGTCACACTATCAATCAACACCACAATCTGTCACTACATTAATTTAAAAGGCTGAGAGGGCAAGAATCATTTGGGGAAAAAAATATTCTGCTCACAATCATGCCTTTCAGAACATTAAGAAACAACCCAAGAGCACACAAAGCTTCGTTTGTTAGGGATTGTACTTATGGCTTATTTTACTAAACCACAAACTTTTGAAGAGTCTTTGTAATACTCATGGGAGTGATTCTGAAACCAGAGCAACCACAGCATAAAGGACAGTAACAGAAGAAAGCTCAAGGAAGAGAATAAAAACATTCTCATGCATAATTAATGGCTTTCATGAGTTTAAAAGCGGGTTTATTTTCAGGGGAACACTCACACCCTCTAACAACTGATGTCTCTAATTATGGTCGGTCAAGTCTTCTAGCCCACTTTGCCTCATTCTAGAACACGATTAAAATTAATTACTTTGCACCAAGTCTTAAAACACGTTCTCCCCTTCCTCTCCCTGCCTGTACCTTCCTTCAAAGTTTAGCTGGTAATGTATCTGCTATTTGCCTTCACAAATAATAAAAATGAAAATCTTCACTAATTGGATTCTTTGGGTGAGATGCACAATTATTATTCTAATGGCAAATTGCAAAGGCCACTTCTTAGAATAACTGGAACAAGGACTGACGAGGGCTTTAAGCACAGCCAAGAAACAAGCTACAAAAATTTTCTGAACCATATTACCTTACAAAAGCCTGCCTCTATACAAAACCAAGGAAGGTCTGACATTCTCACAGCAGTTTGTAAGATTACTGTTTTCTGGAACGTTATACAGAACTCTACTGTCTCTATCTACAGTATATTTCTGACCTGAATATGGAGGCAGTATGTTTCTTTGAACAATCAGTAATGATCTACCAGACTACACAGTGTAGTGTCCCAGAAGAAAGTAGTTCTTTTATGTAGCCGTATCTCCAAATTCTATTGCTGTGCCTACAGTTTTTACAAATTTTTTTAAACCGTTCGACATTATAGAATTTTTTATAACAAGAATTATGTCCACCGGCGAGGAAAGCTTACAATCCATATGAGTGATGGAAAATAAGGAAAGCGATACAAGTACAGCACAACCCCTCGCTACAAATGTCAGAGTTAAGAAATTTAATTTTTATGGAAATTGCAAAATATGGCCATAAAATTCACAATATGCGCCGAAAGTTCCTCAGGAAATTTGGAACAGGAATGTTTTAAACACAGAATGCAAAATGTGAACTTCGGCCAAAATAATTTTCTTTTGGGATGAAATTCCGACTGCGACATCAGTGACACAGGAGGATCTTTAGTAGCCTAGCTCCACTATGGTCACATGATGTCAACTGAGGAACCCTCTTAAAAGAGGGCATAGGATTTTTACTCCCTGCACTTCTGCTCCAACAGTGAATAAGTCAAATCTCTCAGAGCTCTGGTTAGAAGCCTACCAAGGACGAGGCTAAGGTCTCCTTAATGAGAATGGGTAATGTGGCCATCAAGAACTGGAGTCTGTACACGTCGAGGGCTGAGGGGGAGGGTGTCACCATCTCACACCTGGGGCCTCAGCTGGCACCTGATTACAGGTCTAGCTGGGGTCAAGTGGGACCTATTCTATCCCTGGTACAAATATAAAGGACGGCTGGATGGACCTTACCACCAGTACTCTGGAGGAAGGGGCATCTCTTCCTGCTCTATTGGGCTCAGGTGCCAAGTCATCTGCTCTTCTGCTGTCATGGAGAGGCAGTTAATCTCCTAGGGGCTCTCGTGAGGGCCCAATGAGGGCAAGACGAACAGGTTTCTTGACAAGGTTGAGAAATCTATCAAGGACAAGAATTACACTGGCCAGCAGAGGAATACTCTCTTCAAAGATGCTGGGGCTGGGTTATAGGTCGAGCCCGGGCTCAGCTGTCCATGTCAACAGATGACTGTAGATGGCTGTAATCTCAAAGATTCTCTTAATGCATTAGCGGGCTGAGTTGTTGGGTTTTCTCCCTTGGAGCTCTGGTGTCAGTTCCCTCAAGAGTGAGAAAGTAAGGCATCTCTGGCCAGTATTTTATGTTCAGTAATCATTTCTGTCATCCTGCAACTTTAGTTGAATTGCCTTAACATTATGAGAAGACAGCCACAATTTACTCACCGAATCATTGCAGGGCGAAGGCAGAGGTGAGGCGGCCGCTTGCGGAAGGTACGGACTATGCTGCAACGTTGCAGAATAGGGTGCATACAGGGGTGGGTAAGCTGGATGCGGATGCGGATGTGGGTGTGGATGGGAATTTGGATAAGCAGCTAGTGATAGGGGCGCATAACTGTTAGGAGCAGATTGCGCTGGAGTTGCCACAGCTGGACTACCGGTCCTGCTGTTGCTATTGATGCTATTTGTATTACTGTTTGGGCAGTGTTGCTGGGGGGCATGGGGTGCGGGTACAGGTGCTGCTGTCACTGCTGCTGCTGGTGGTGGCTGCACATGTGGCTGAGCCTGTGGCAATGGTAAAGGAACAAGGGGTGGAGGGGGTACTGGCGGAGGAGACTGAACCACTGATTGCGTGGGCCCAACACGTGGTACTGGTCCATTTGATACCACACTAGGTTGTGACGAGAGTGATGGTGATGAGGGCGGGTTCGTGATGGGTGTAGGATTGTGCGGTTGAGGTGGCGGTGTTGGTGGAGTAGGAATTCGTGGGGGTAGAGGGCTGGGGGCAGGACTGGTCTCGCCACTGCCCCCACCAGGCGACCCTGTTCCGTTGTTGATTGGTGGCGGTGGGTTGCCTGGTAACTCGTCTGAAAAGGAGAAAATCCAAAATTAACAAAGCATGACACAGGCTATCTCCTACTGCTACTGCTACTACTACTACTACTACTACTACTACTGTGGGAAAAGATGGCCGCACTTTGAATAGCTGCATCAATTTCTTGAAAATAATGAAGAACTGATGAACGTAAATGATTCCTGGTCTTCGGTTTTCTGTTACTGATGAACAGAACTGGTTCCCGGTTTCCGGTTTGCTGCCGAAGAAAGCTTTCCTGGGCGCAGACAAAATACTTGGTTCAGTTTGCGCACATTAGGGCACGCCAAGCCACTGTGACTACTCTCTCTTCAAATGCCATGCACTGCGCTCGATGCGCATCCTTGGTAGAAATGTTCAGGTGTCTGGTAATGGAAGCATCGCACTGGAACTGGAATATACGATGGTCGGCGAACCTATCATAACCAATACTGGTGGTGCAAAGCAAGGCCGAAATGCCGAAAGTCAGGTGCATACATCGAAGAGGAAATGGCTTTCCGCGCGTTTTCTCTATTTGCCTCTATGCTCTGGAAGCGAACCGGTGGGCTCCTTGCCTCGAAATGGTGACTCGCATAAAAGCCTCTGTTTCTTTTCGCAGCTGGATCCTGACATCGATTTTAGTGGCGTGACTGTAACCTCGGTGGCTGTTTGCTCTGATTTGGGAAATCGTTCTGATATCATCAGAGACGGCATCAGTTGTCTTGGGATTTACTTGGGGCACTCTCCCTAGGGTAAATTAGAATGTGACTACACACTCCCAGTTGCGGTGGCACTTTTGCCTATCAGTATTTCCAAATGTAATACGCTGCTCAACCCTACGGAGAGGTTATTGCGCAAAGTGCCAGTCACGAACGGCTTCAATGTTGAAGCATTATTTCCGTTTTTGCGCTCCATTTGGGCGACGATCTTTTATAAGGGAACTGCAGCGTTGCGGGACGCATCCTTGGGAATGACATCACACCTACTCCGGACTGAAGTCCAGATTGGTAGCCCTCATTCCCTGGGACTTTCTGACTCCGATTCCAAGAAGATATTTCACCTCGTCCGTCCTTTCCCAAAAAATCAAGGAAGCAGACCCACAATTACCGTGCCCCCCCACCCCCACCCTTAGCGTTTTAGGCCGTAACAGCTTCCCGTGGGCCCTTACACGAACTGGGATTAACTCTCCTGTTGAGTACCATATACAACTCTGGGACAACAAGCCTGTGAGACCGCCACCATACAGGTTAGCTCCGTTCAAGATGCAGTTTCCCTAGGAACACATTAAACAACTTCTCGGGGATGGCGTTACTGAACACCCCCCTCTTCAGAGCATTCCAGCCCGATGTTTCTTGTTCCTAAAAATGAACAGTCTTATAGAGAGCAGTCGTGGACTATCGAGCGCTTAATAAATGCATTGAACTAGGATGAGTACCCTTGCTGGGTGTTCCGAATTTCATTGCTTTTCCGCGGTCAGGTACTTCACTGAGTTATAGATATCAATCATGTCTCTATTAAGAGATCCCACTCTTTCGAGAACCAAGGCATCTAACTGCATTTTGTACCGATTGGAACTTGTATCAGTACCGCTGTGTCCCTTTTGGGATAGCCACGGGTGCTCAAGCATTGAACCGGCTGCTTTATATGAATTTCATATAAAATTTAAATTTGTGTACCACTATTTGAACGACCTTGTGGTATACAGCGAGAATTGCGACCAGCATCTTGAGCATGCCTCACAGGTCCTCTCTTGTCTGCGTGACGCGGGTCCAACTGCTAAACCTTCCAAAGTTGCTCTCGCGGTAAAAGTTATTTCCTCCCTGGGGCACCAAATTTCCCCTTTAAGCGTGTCTAAAGAACCCGATCATACTCAGACCATCTCAAATTTCCCTCCGTCAAACGACGTAAAATGGATCACTCGATTACTAGGGGTGGTAAACTTTTGCCATAAGTTATCCCCGGTTTGGTCAATTACCGTGTTCACAAGAACCCTTCACTGGTCTTAAAACACGTCACTACTCCTCCCTAATACCTACGTTTCATTCGTAATTTGCGCTCATCGCTTTCCACAACAATTCTCAGAAGTCTCGAGACGAGAATTCATCTTGGCTGCAGCTATCTTTCAATACTGTTACACGTGCAACTTCCCCTTCGGCGCTGGTTCACCTCTCCGTCATCAGTGGGGGATAAACCTCCTCCTGGATAGCTTGCAGCACTGGCAGTATCAGCAGGTTATGGGGAAGTGTTCGTCGCAACCTCCTCCACGATAAGAAGGCTTCAGCCAGGAGATACAACAGCAGCAGTTTCCTTGAGGCTGGCGATTTAGTTTTATGCTGAAATCTTCCTCGATATGCAGCACACAATGTGGGCAAAATCTCATCGTTGGCATGGGCCTTTGGGTATCGGCGCTCTTCTCACCTCGGTCACTGTGAAGATAGCTTAGCCTACATCGGGCAATTTCGTAACTCGGGCCCATCTTTCTCACTTGAAACCCGGTTAAGTTGGGGGGAGGGTAGGGATTTCCCTTGTTTTTGGCACGAGTTTCCTTACATTGGCTACTGGACCACGTGTAAAGAGGCCAACTCCTTTCATCGCCCCACGTCGGCAGCTTGCCGTCTGAGAGCACACTCTAATTTGTTTTGATTGTATGATATATGTATACATGTTCCCTTCTTCTGGTTTCCTTGTGGCCCTTCTGAAGTTAACTTGTTATTTGAGTTTTAGGGAGCTGTTTCCTGTAAAAGAAATGTAGTTTTCTAGACCATCGGATCTTGGATGGCGGAGATGTCAGCCTTACGGGTCAGCCGCCCTTTACCCCCTAGAATACTGGTATCCAATTGTCTGAAACTGAGTCGACCCCAGCACCGTAGTGCGACTGGAAAAAATGAGTCAATTTAAAAATCCAATGATCTCATTGATAATCGAACCCGCGACCTTCCGGCTTGCAGCAAGGTGCCTCAACCAACTACGCTACCGTGTGCCCCTCAGATGCTGTTCTATACATATTCTAACTCACGTGTTTACGTGGGGCTGCGTCACGTCAGACCCTTAGGCCCGCTACACAGCACTTCGAGCGCGTCCACCGGTGCGCGCCTCATCTGTTTACGGCGGCCCATGAACGCGAGTGCGAGCTAAGTACGGCAGTCCAAGTGTCAAAGATGAACTGTGTTAGGCGGACTGTTTTGGTGATGCCTGGATTTTCGGGCACCTAGTGCTGTGATGGACGCCCCTCCCTCTGGCACCGAGAGTCGTGTTTGAGGGTTGGGGGGTGGAAGATGTGTCCCTGGTTTAGCAGGGAGCTGGAGAACTTTCCTTCGGGTGCGTTTATGTTTAATGCTGCGACACCAGTGCGCATGTGTCCCCACCGTCTCATCTTTCTCCCCTCCACACCCTACTTTTTCCTTTGAAGATATGGGCTGTTTCTGAAACTCACTGCCGTCTTGGATCCGACTTGGGGAGGTTGTTTGGAAAACTGATTTGGCTCCTTTTCTTCTAAAACCATTTCGGCAGTCGTCTCTACCTCCAGATCAGGACAGCCCGGTCCCTACGTAGTCTGCCAATGTACGTTCTTCTCTGCTTAATTTGTCTGGTCCTGCCTCGAGTGGGCAGACCACGTACGGGCCCTAACAGGATTTCGTGTCGATTTCTCTTGCTTTCCTACAGTCTGGTTGCATCTAGCTTCTCGAGGCGAGTTATTTGATTTGTATTCTGTTTTATCAAATATATACATCTGAAATCTATTAACATTTTCTGTCAGTTTCTTTGTTACTGTTTTATTCTGTACCCCCCTTTTCATTGTCTTTCCGCCGCCTAGACCCACGGCTAATCCCAGATGAATTCTACCAAAATGCGGACACTGACACTGCGGGGGGGGGGGGACAGACAGTTAATAACTGATTTTGTTGCAGATAAAAACACACCTAACGAATTGTTAATGACCTATACCCCCTCCCTCGAGGTTAAGAGCAACTCGAATACAAGACATCAGATCAATAATTCACATGACCAGAGGGAGGGGGGTACCTATAAATGAACGAAATGAATCTAATTGTGATATGGGCAAGAAAACTCTGGAAGTTAACAAAACACAAACAAGCCTCTTCGACCCGAGATTCGTGGGAGTCTGTGAAGACCTGTGGCTACTGTAATCTTGTTCTAAAAACTTTAATTAAGCAACACAGCATGAAGACGTGTGAGGGAGTGGAGATATTTCCACCATTCTTGACCTTTGCATTAGATGGAGGTGAGCGATCAGTTTTATGCTCCGTCCGCTTTTCTCTCGGGGAAAATAACTCCCGTTATCCACTGTATAGGAGGCTGGATTGGACCCACAGCCAGTCCGGACGCTATGAAGAAATTTCTTCTTGTCCCTTTCGGACATCGAACCCCTGCCGTCCAGCCGGTAGCCCGTTCATATACCGCCTAAGCTACCTCGGCTTCTAGCCTTGTTCTAAATTATTTTTAATACACGCATTATCCAACACATGCAAACTATAAAATGCAAATTACAGTCACGCCTCAGTTCAGTGATCACCGAATTTAAGATCTAAGGTCAGTTTCATACAACTCCTGTCAAAAAACTGAGGACGCAGGCTTCAAGACTATAAGCGAAGTGTGATTTAAGCTGCATTTCTGGAGCTCTGCATACAATATCCCTCTATTTCTAACAGACGTGCGTGTACTATCGTAACTACAGATATCAAAGGTACACATATTTTACTTACGTTTTCGAGTGGTTGTGAAGAGATCTGATCCCGCATCGGACCCCTGAAACAGAGAAAATTCACTTCAAGACCTTCACTGAAGCAGAGAATCATAAAGAACAATAATTCGTAACACAGCAATATGTTGGATTTGAGGTTCTCACAGCGGTGGTTATAACCGCCTTCTATGTCCTAGAAGACGGAACTCTTTATAACAAACGCTGTGAGAACCTCAAATCCAAATATCCTACAATCTAGGATATAACGTCGTGTAGAACGATGAAAAGTCAACACGAGTTTCGAATTAACATGTCGCCTCCACCTTCGGGGACAATGAATAAGCCACAGACGAAACCATCGTGAATTTCTCCTTGATGCTTGCTCCATGCTGATTTCTTGCTTGGCTTATTTTTCAGCCCTGAAGATGGTGGCGACACGTTCCTCCAAAACGTCAGATGTTCAGGGGGGCTATATGGCGTTACATCTCATAAGACAGAAGAACCCTGCGCTGCAATATGTTATTCCACAGCAAAATTTACATATCTTGACATCGAAATATACTGCATATTGAAATCCAACATTCCCTACAAATAACCGTTTCCATCAATACATTATCATCCATACAGAAAACTGACTGGAACGTTTTAGAACAAAACATCCTGCTAACAGAGTAACAAACGTGCGATTTTCAGTCTGAGCCATCTCAGAGCGTACGTGATATCTTGAGCTGGTAACCTTACGAGGGAAAAAATGTAAACTTCCGTTAGGGCGATTCTGGTTCCCATCATGTGCTGAAAATAGCCTCTAGTAGCTTTCTAGTTGTGACGTAATCAGCTATGTCATTATGTGACGACACTCTCAAAGATGCTTCAGATGCGGTATATACTCTGAACTTCTACTGCATTTTACATGGGGAAGAAGCCTCTCCATATAAATTTATGCGACCATTATTGAATTAAACTCGACAGGAATGGGGGGGGGGAAGCGGTCATGCGAGAGAGCTAGAAAATCTTTAAATTAAAGGGTTGAATGCATTGGCTATAATGTGACGCGGGGGAAACATTTTGCCAGAGAAAAGCCCGCCCTCTACCCTTTTATCATATGAAGTCATCTACACGCCATGTGGAATCACCTGTAACGGGCCGTGAACGCCCACAGGGTTGTGAGACGTCGAGGCTCCCACATTTTCTTTAGACAATCGGATCACAGATGGCGGTAAGGTTGTCAGTCTTACGCGCCGGCCGCCCTTTACTCCCCAGGAAGATTCCTGGTACTCATTTGTGTTAGAGGCTGAGTCCACCCCAAGGCCATAGTGCGGCTGGAAGGATTTGGTAAATTGAAAAAAAAATCCGCCTCATCAGGACTCAAACCCGCGAGCTTCCGGCTTTAGCATAGTGCCTTAAATAACTACGCTACCACTCGTAGTACGTTCCTTCCTAACTACAAGAAAAGCTGCAGCTTTGACGTGGCATAAAAAGTGCGTTTCGTTTGAAGCCTGAGTTCTGTGTACTATCTAGTTAGAAGCAGTGCTGCATGTCCAGCGGTGACAGCTACATGACCGCTTTCTGTGGAGCACAATTAGGCACTGGCCCTATTTTTACAACTATGATCTCCAATTCATCTGACTACGTGCGTACGTGCGTACGTACGTACGTATTTTGCGGATGCACAACTTCCAACACACCTCTCTCGGATGAATATTACGGAACATACATTAAAAAATTAATTGAGATCCTTAAAATAAACTGGTGGTCTCAACATATTGTTGAGGTAAGTTTTTTTTTTTCCTTGGCACTACAGCCCCAGTGGGCCTAGGCCTACCTCCATGAACTTCTCCGTTCACTTCGGTTTTTCTAGATCTTACACATTCAGTAGGACTCCTTGGGCGGGTGATCAGCTCGTCGCAAGGTCTTTACCTGTACACAAACACAGATAAACGCAAACGCACAAACTAAACATCCATGCCCTGAGTGGGATTCGAAGCCACGATCCCGGTTTACAAGCGAGCGAAGACAGTACATGCCTTAAACCTCTCAGCTACCGTGACCGGCTGTTGAGATAAGTATTAAACCTAATCTGGAAGGCATCTAATTGACTTTCTCGCATCGTACTGCAGGAGTAGTAAACACATGCAGTGGAGACCTACAAAACTAACTTTTCAAGACAGGCTATGTACAACGGAGGTAAGAAGAAGCCAGTCATTGACGATTTACCTCAGGCTACTTACATCGGGAATGGAAAATGATGCGCGTCTATTTTCTCTTTCGAGAACGGCGAATTTTGCCATTACACATCCCCTCGCATGCAAACGATCGAGAGGTCGCTATCACAGGAAGGGTCCCAGAGCAAAGGTGGCGCCCGTAACCTGAATTTAATTAAGATCGATTGAACTGTTAGTGGGGTACATACACGCACCGACTATAACAGCCTGCATAAAACTGAGGATAACAAAAAGTAAAACCAGACGTTTTAAGCCACTGTATAGCGGTGAAGCGTGTTTTAATCATATTACAGCCACCAATCTCTGATTCGAAAAATGCATCTATCATATAAATGACTGATCCGAGATATTCTCTGTCATATAACCAGTGACATGCGTGTGGGAATTCAACTCTCTGCTGCAAAACATGCGACTGGTTCGAAATGTAAAAGGTGAAAGTAGCACTGAAAGAAAGAAGGAAGAAAACTGTATCTTCATGCAAAGGAGATGTGAAGTTACACTTTTTTCCCCAATTCATGTACTCGTAAAATTATGCACTGTTACTGAGTAGTACAAAACATGTTCAATTTCATTACTTCCTTTCTTTTCTAACCATGAAATTATTCTGCAAATAACTTGCACATTATTCTTTACAAATGTTTTATTTCTTTATACTTTATAGGAAGTAAAATATGCAACAGAGTCTTAACAACAGAAATCAAACATTTCAGAATACACTATTTATAATCCGTTAGATGTTCTCTTGCTTCGTTTCCAATTACGATGGCCATATTTCCGTTAGTTATCACGCTATTTTTGTCAAGGCCAGAGAATTTATTTTCGATAAAGTCAAGTTCCGGTCTAATGGAGATTTCTTTCTTAGTCTGAACTGTATATTAAATGTGACACCATAGCAACAATGACGTTACAAGCTGCAAGTGCAATTTTATTCAAATTGCTGGTATACGAGTGTATATATATTGTAACGTGGACGACCAGAGCGTTTCTTGGCAACGACCTACAGCTGAGTGCGTTACAACAATAAGACGAATGTTTATAGCTCGTTGCTAGGCGACAGTCAGTGCATTAATGGACTGACGAGATATCACGTGACGTGTTTCTGTGTGGTCTGAGTCATCAACATTAGAATTGTTTCCTATGCGGTCCGTGCTGCCGCTGTATACCGAGAGCTGTGAGCCGTAAGTTCAGAGCGAATTATAACTAGAAGTGAGTGACAGAGTTCTGTGTGCTCGGTAGGAGACTTGTGAAGATTTAAAGTGTGGTTAGAAGACTTTATTCATGAGTAAGAGTGATTTGAAGCGCTAATTCTTGTGTTTTAATTGTTACCAGGAGAGGACCAGTGTGTGTAAATCAGCGATAGCGCTGGATTGACTGTAATCAAGAGAGGATGCAACCAAAGTGCTAATAAATCAAATCATCCGAACTAGAAACCGTCATTTCGTCACGCGTACCACCATACAACGTGATATATATTCGTATTTGGGGCAGTAAGAGTAGTGCCCACTCGTAACTGGCAGAAACAGTACAGCTGACAGATGAAGACACGGGAGAAATGGAGATAAACTCCGTGTATTTGTAAGCTTGGCCTTAGATAAAAGTGTGCAGTCACATCCACGTTCCGGCCGTGTTCTCTCGGAAAGAGCCATAGTTACCTATCGAACATTTAGGCCGTGCCATAGCTCAAGCCGTTAGCCACTGGCTTCCCACCGCGGCGGCCCGGGTTCGATCCCGTGTCTGGTCAAGTGGGATTTTTGGTGGACAAAGTGGCGCTGGGGCAAGTTTTCTCCGAGTAATTCGGTTTCCCTTGCCAATCTTCATGCCACAAATTGCTCCACAATCACCCTCACCTATAATCTGGGTCTGGTACAGTAGGCCAGAAGTGGCCGCAGTACAAGGGACTTAGTCCCACCCCACTAGCACTAAAAAAATACCCATCTAACAAAATGAATGGTGGATTCCACAATCGGCGTGGACTTGGGGGGGGGGAAGAGAAACATCACAACCAATGTCACGAACAGAACCGGTCTCCCATTCCTTATTAAGCCGCGAGTACTTATATGAAATAATAATTATTTTGCATCTACTTAAGTACCACAAACTATATACTGTATTAGTTCATAAAATGAATACTGTTTATCAAAGTCAGCTGCTATCAAAGTGGAACGATTACACAATAAATTATAATTACAGCTAGCAGGATAGAGTGGTTATTAATTGAGACTTAATGAGCTCCTACTGGGCGTCCGTAGCGTCACAACAAAGACGGCCTCCGTTTCTTCGCTCTCTTAACAAATTTAAACTATCCACAGCAGCAGACGCTTAACGAAGTTTTAATTATGACTGCCGGTAACAACTACATTACGCTCTGCAAGAAGCCATTCTCTGTTTGCGCATAAACAGACTAACAGCTCTACTTTCGAAGAATGACATTACTGGACCACGCGAGAAGAAGAAAAATCATTCAAGTGACTTCCATGAGCTTAAAGTCTTATTCAGCATATATATCCTCTTCATATCATCTTTCGTTATATTTTAATTCTACCCTTGGTAATAGTTTATACAGCAATTCTTTCTCCTATCCTCTGTGGTGGAGACGACGGGACATTAAAGGACGAAAACAAATCCGGAATCACGGCTGCTGAATTTTTACGAGTCGAACCACTGCATATACTCGTAACCTACGCTGCAAGACCAGGCAGGGGACGAACTAGACATACTGGATGAACAAAAGAAAAAACCTGCATTCACGAAAATTCAGGACAACAGAGATAAACTGACCTGCCACACTGACATAATGCAACTTCCAAACTAATGGCAGAGTAAAGGAAAATTAAGGAGGGGGA